AAAATTTTAGTAGTTTTCATACAATATTGCCTGCAATTTGTGAAAAAACAATGTTACCTCAATAGCACATAAAATACAAGTGATAAAAAGGTAACGAGTACATACATCAATTAGCCCCATCCCTCACGCACTTCCGTGTACAGGATCTTAATGAAAGAACAAATTATGGACAACATATTTAATTTAGGGAAAAATCTCTTTCTTCAACTTTGAAGTTGTACGAAGAGGGAAAAAATTTTCAAATGTTTGCAACATTGCATATTCTTACAAAAAAATTTAGAGAAAAAATTTAGAGCGGATTTTAAGAAAAGTTTGAAAATGCCCCAGGACTTCATGTAAAGGATCGCCAAAAATTAATGACTGTTTCTCAAAATCGCGGAGCTTCGACTCAGGACAAATCCATGGGAGTTTCTTCAATTTGAAAAACAATTCTACACATAGCTTAGGTGCTAGTGTTCTTCACATACACCACACGGACTGGCAGTCGGACGGACGAACGTTTTGAAACTAACTACTTTTTCGGTATCAGGGGATCCCAAATCGTGTATTTCTGTTGAAATCTCGAAATCTATTTTTCGAAGTATTACATAACTTTCCGTATACTCCGTATATAAGAGAAAGTAAAAATTGGAGCTGTTTCTGAGAAAATCATGTTTTAAATTTTTTTATTATTGCTAATGATTCGCGATAAATTACGTAAAAACTACTAACATTAAAAAAAAATCATAACATTAAATTTAAAAAATTCTGTGGAGAACAAACCTGATTTGAAGAAAAAAACTTTTGTAATTTTCATAAATTTAGGGCTAAGATTGAAAATCAAATCTATCCTATGTTTATAAGTGTATTTAATTCCAGTCTTACAATAAATTTGAAGAAAATATTTGTTGCCAGTTTGAGAGACTTTTGAAACTGTCCCAAGCTGTAAAGTACCCCAAAAGTCTAAAGAATGCTTTTCAAAATCGCAGAGATTCGAGTGGCCCCAGATCGATCGGGGAATATTCATTTTGGGAAAAGTTGTACGAATAGTTTAGGCGTTAGTTATGTTCAGAGACGGACGGACGGTTTGAAACAAATCATTTTTTCGGTATAGAGAGACCTCAAAACGTGAATTTCTGTTTTAATCTGGAAATCGACATTACCCAGTATACATAACTTTCTCTACACTAAGCGTATTACTCCGTATGCACTTACGTATACGAAAAGGTAAAAAGGTTTTTTTCTGAAATTGGCTCTTTTTTTTTTCTTCAAACTTTTTGTAGGGATAGTGCTAGATGAACTCTTCAAGATGTCATAGGCTCTATCCTATAAACAGCACGAAGAAAAAAATTGAGCGAATTTCAGAAAAAAAAACACTTTTTACTTTCTCGTATACGTAAGTGCATACGGAGTAATACAAGTAGGTACTTTCGTATACGCTCAAACGCTATTTTCTCGAAATCAGTTCCAATTTTTTTCTTTCTTCTTTTTGCATTTATTTGTTTGTTTGTTTGTTTATTTATTTATTTATTTACTTTATCTATCTATCTATCTATTTTTGTACTGATAGTGCTAAGTGAACTAAATAACATTATATAACTATCCTTTTTCAGGTAATCTTTTCTTATACCAAAAATGAATCTCATGTTTTTTGTTGTTGTTGTTTTTGTTTTTCAATATCTCTCATGTAGGTCCAGAGTATCATGTAGGGACAATTCTATAATATGCTTTAAGTCATATTTCAATTCTACTATTAGAGAACCAAAAAATTGAAAGCATGTAACGTAAATGACTAAGGCGCCAATAAATGGCAGCTGAGAAGACAGTACGGGAAAAACCAAAAATATAATGATTAATAAGGAACACATTGATTAATAAGGAAACTAACTAGTACAAGAATGTTTGTGCCATTCTGTATCATCACTAGTTCTATAATGTGATTGCCAATGTTCTTAATATTTGAGAAAACAAATTAGTTCATGAAGGGAAAATGAAATGTTTAAAGCAGCTGGTCTTCAATTTGTGTGCCACCTTATTGCCACTATGATCAAATGGAGTTTGAATGGAGTCAGTGCACGAAATGTTATCAGAGTCATCATGGTACCACATTCAGTCACATAGCAGAGATAAGGATGTGGAAGGAGATTCTGTGGAGGATTCTGCAAATTTATTTAAATACAGATTTCAAACATATTATTAGCATTAAAATAACAAAAATAAGACATTGTAATATGTAATATGTATTGTATCATTCATTGTAACATGTACTTTCAAATGTTATCATTAATGAAATGTGATATATATTAATGTATGTAGACAAGAATTCGCTGATTACCTTGGTATTAAAATGGAACTTAAAATGAAGCCAAAAAAAAAACTCTGCAGGAGTGAATATTAAAATAGTGATTTGTGAAATTTTTGCAGAAACATTAGTAATATAACTTAATTATTCTGAACAGTGCTACATTTGGGATAATTATGTGGCATGAACTGAAGTTTACAGAAGAAGATTGTAGAGTAGAAGTGTAATATGGAAGTTTCAGAGATTGCAGTAATAATAAATATATATTTTCAATAAACATTTATGAAATGAGATGTAGGAACACTTTTATACTTCAGATATTTAACAGCGAGGAAGTAACTTCTATTTCAACATCCTGAAAAACACTGCCATATGGATATCAAATAGTGAGTAGAACTTCAAATAGTGAATTCATTTTAAATATATGGGGTTGAGAATGGAATGTGCATCATTAAAAGTAGAAAAAACTGTTAAAACTCAAGATAGTATAAGTTTGTGTTTTTTTTTTTGTTTTTTTGGTTGAGATGGGAGGGGGTATTGCAATATCAGATAATGTTTAGCAAATATTTTTAATTTGATCTTCTTTGGCATGTGATTGTATTTGAATAGTATGTGTATTACTGTCACTGAATGTACTCTCAATTGACTCTGTAAGAAAATATCTTGTAGTTGAAATCGTTAGAAAGCTTGTAGTACTGTAATGGTTTCTTTGTGATGTGAGTTAACACACGCTCGTTTCAAATGTTTGAAACAGAAATAAAGATGTAGACTTTGAGAAATAAGTATAGAAGTTGTAACTGTGGATTTCATTTATTTATACAATGCAAGAATTTTTTTTTCAGTTGAATGTACCGGTAATGTTTTCAGGACTTTTTTTTTTTTTTTATTTATTGTATGAAAAGCAGTCTTTGCTATTAGTATTTTCCTGCAATTGCTGAATCCTCTATTATATATGTATGCATGCATGTATGAATATTTTAATTATTTATTATGTACACTTCCTCTAATTCCAGTTTTATTTTCTTGTCTTTTTGGCCTTAAGCCAAAACTGACAAGGTTTTGTCTGTTTCCCCTAGACACTTAAGGCAGATGTTGGGATGGTCAGTTAC